AAGTCTTCCTAGCCTATTTTTCAATAAATCAAACCCAATTGATGGCTCTCTGTGTGTCTATGCCGAGAGTAACATCACGAGGCTTTTGTGGAAGATTACACTACCGATTTTCGGTAGTGAGCCAAATATACTGGTTTCGAGATTGGTCTATGTTTCTATAAGATTTTATTCACTATGTGGGAAGAGATCATTTTCAGTCCTATTCCTCGCCGGCGAAGGGACAACGGGACAACATGTTCCCGTCGACTTCACGTCAACATGGGTTTGACCCATAGCTTTCCCGTAACGAGCATGTTGAAGCTCGGTTACGTCGTTGCACCTTTCTCCGTCAAGGAGATCTATTCCAACCACTTCTATGGAGTGTGTTTACAAAAGCTCAGCCTTTATGGCAGCTCATGACGTTCATTTGCCGTCAATGGCAGAAGAATTGGAGATCGATTTGTTTGCAATTGATTTTAAAGTCCTTTTTAAGAAGCTTCTGGGTTTTATCTCTAATTCAATCCGCATAACCTATCCCTTGAAGTTTATTGTGACGCATCCGGGTTTCTCTTTGGAGTCGCTGTCTAATAGCTATGTTGTTATTCTTCTATATGGTCTTATTGCTCTCAATGTCTACTTTTTGCAACTATGTAAGATTTCAGTTTAAGGATTAATGAAGAAATTGTTGAACAAAAAAAAAAATCATTAAGAATGGCAAAACCCATAAACCAATAACAATGGATTCTAAAAATCTTTAAGAATCCATCTACCAATAATCCTCCCCTTTTTAGTTTATTTTTGAAATCTTTCATAACTATATGTACATTTTTTTCATTTTTTTTTGGGGCAAATGTACATTGCAGATTAAAATTGACAAGAATATGTAAGGTTATGAAGTTTATTTTGACCAACTAATGATTGGTTTTTTTATCATGCTTTAAAATATTTTTTTAATACTTTCTTCCATTACTCATCTCAAGTATAAATTTTATTGTTCAAGTATAAATTTTATTGTTAAAAATTCATTATTTTAAAAAACAATTCAATTAAAAGTTATTAACTAATCGAATTAATCCACTACAACAATAGATTTAAATTTTAAATTTAGAGTTTAAATTGATTTTCACCATTACTAGATCTTTCTCAAAACAAAATTCTAATCATATGTATTTGGCAGAGATAATAAAAGGCAAAAAATCCAAACCAGGTTACAAAGAAAAAAAAAAGATGAGGATGATAAAAAAAGTAAAAAGATATGAGATACATAAGAAAAATGTATATCAAATAATTTTTTAAGTTATGATAAAATATGTTATTTAAAATTTTTTTTTTACAATTAGGTATGATGTGGATTAAAAACAATTAATATTCTCTTTGTATCACCTTAGATTATGTTTAATTAAGAATTTTGCACATACATTAGAAAAAACATAAATAATAGAATTTTCGTTGTGAGGAGGCGGTAATTTAGTGGCATTTGTAAGCCCACTTAAAGCAATCACCATCACACTCAAGATCGAATTCATTCCCCTGCAAGTATAGGGATTAGTCTAATTGGTCGATATGTGATGACCTATGGTTGGATAAAAGTAAGGGAAATTGTGTGTAATAACCATCAAACAACTATAAATTAGGTAGATAACCAAAAAAAAAGTTGACCAAGATATTCTTTGTATTTTATGTAAAATTACAAAATATGCTCCTCTCTCTTACACACGATTTTTCTTTCTTCTTTTTTTTATCCCTTTTCTTTTTATTTGATTTATATCTTTCAAAAAATATTTGATTCTAATTCGTGAGAGTTCTTAAAAAAACTATATTTTTTTGTATATACTACATTTTGAAATTTTCAAAACAAACAACAATTACGCAAAACAAAAATGTTACTAAGTAAAAAATAAGTTAGTCTATATATAAAAGTTTACGAGAAATTTCAAAAAATGTCATTTTTCAAGTGCCACTTTACAAAAATGCCACACTTTTGAAATTTTTACAAAAATGCCACTTTTTCAAAATTATTTTTTCTTTATATCATTTATGTTTGGGTTAATTATGTTCTATTAGGGTTTAGTTATGAGGGTTTAGGGAGTTTTAGGGGTCAAAATATTTTTTAGGGTTTATAATTTTAAGATATAGGCTTTATAAATCTATAATTAGTGACATTTTTGCAAATTGTCACCCCTAAGTGGCATTCTTACAAATGTGCACACAAAAAGTGGCATTTTTATAATTGCCCCAAAGTT